TTGTGTTGGAACTAACTGCAATATTTGTTTACTGATAAGAATTCAAATCACTTCCTTGGTAGCCAATATGTGAGTTGACCCCTGAATGTAGAGATTTCATTCCACTTCTAGTTCTGTGAAACACACAGTGGGGTCCCCTTAAGCCAATGACAACCATCTTGAAATCTGCATGACAAGGCAGACAAGGCTACATGGTAATCATGCATATGAACTTGCATTTCTTATGATAGAAAGTGGTAATTCCACATATGGAAAAATGTCAACTCTGAATCTCTGTTTCTATTTTCAATTTGCCGTTGTATATTTTTTTCTCCCTTTCCATTTCACTCACTCCTTACCAATTCATGGATAACTCAAATAAGTTAAATTTCTTTCGTGGTTTCAATTTCTTTTGACATGTGGACCAATTGACTCCACTGAGGCAGGCCCTGTGTTATTTCATTCATAGGTTATACAAGAGTTCTACTTATCATTAGGCATATGCTGCTTTATCAATACTTTGAGTCAAATTTGATAGTAATATTCTAGCTATAATTAAACTTCTCTGCCTATAAATCTCAATAAGGTAGACTGATAAATTCAGAAAACAAGTACCTACAAAATCAGTGAAAAGAAAGTAAAGAGGTTAAAGAAATTGTAATGATATCAAAATATAGTAGGATAAAAGTATCCAGTATCCTTTGTACACAGGTTATGGTCTAAATAATTGCATGTCAGAAAGGAGCATTACCACTTTAAATTGTCTTTGTGAGTACTTCAGGTAAGTTCCTGGGTAGTTCAAGTCAAGTTAGGTTTTTTTTGCCTGAAGTTTTTAGTTTATTGAATCATTTCTCTGCTATTCTTTAGCTTCAGGAACTTATCCTTAACGTATCTTTTGGTAGTAGCTAAGGGTACATTTTACCTTATTGGAAGATCACTCATTATTTTCCACCTTCCTACCTGGTTGCTTAAAGGGTCATAAAAACTATTCACCTCAAGAAATAATGATGGTGCCTGACACAAAAGGTCTTGGAGGTCCTCATATAACTTACTGTAAGAGAGAACTGGATGGATAAAAAGACAGAAACGTGGTGATATGGAGATTTAAAAATATTGTAGCGTATTTGATTTTCAAAAGAATTAAAGCCCAACAGATATTGTACACCCAATTTTAGGAAAACACCTCAAACCCTCTCTTCTCTAAAAACAAACAAAGAAACCAGACAAACAAAAAAATCTTTAAATAAAAAAAGCATCCCTCCCAATATTTCTATATATCTTCTCTCCAAAATCATTAGAATTGTGTCACAAAAGTAGGATTGACAGATAATTCTCTGTTTTTTTAAACTCTTCTTTCAGTAACTCCCTTGTGCACAACGTTCCAATTCTTTATATTTATTATGCATTATTCACAATTTTTTAAGCAAGAAAAAAGTTTGATTATCTGCTTTTTAGCCTTTTATGAAGCAAATAAGGTAGGCTCAGTAGACATTGGCTAAGCTGAAACACTATTAAGAAATGCAATTCAGACTGAGTCATTTCTTTTCCATTTTTATAAGCCAGACCCTAATTCTTACAGACCCCAAAGAATGGGCTGCCATGACTAAGCAAGGAACACGAGGAAACTAGCTTCTGCCGGATGTTATCTCATTTGGAACACATTTCAAACTTTAAAACAGATTTTTAAATTGGAAGTCGAGCCTTGCCATAGTGTCAGCAGAAGAGACTGATTCACCACACAGAACTTATCTAACTCCAAGTGCTAGGGAATGCTTTTTAAAGGAGTAGGGTACCCAGAAAGCATCACAGTAAAGCAAAACTATGGCCTAAAACAGACAATCCCCATTGGTGATATGAGAATCTAAAAGTCTATTGGCCTCTTTCTAACAAATACTTATATGAATGAGTATTTCTTCAGAAGCCACTAAATCAGCAGAAGTGGAGAAGTTCTATACATTTCTGAAAGGGTAATTATGTTCCCACAATTTTTCTCAGAGCCATGGTCTTTATTTTATCCTTCTTGAGTCATAATAGTAATGTCATTGTATCATGGGAAATGGATTTTTTTAAAGTGCAAATCAGTCTTAATTATTAACGAGGACACAACAGTTGCTTAAGGAAGTACATTCTTGGCAAGGCCTGGAAAAGAAAGGAAATCTCATTTTATAGTTTTCAATGAATTTGGACATGTAGCTACTGATTTCATTTAAATACATTTGAAATTCTCATTGTGTTTAAATCTTTAACTAGAGACATGGAAGAACAAAGTAAATATTTTGAGGTCCTCCAATTGGAGGCATCTACATAAGTAATAAAGATGATAGGCTACTCTCTACACATGCAAGTCAAGCTATGCTGGACAGGCATTTTTTCCTTCCTTTTTTTTAAAATAAAGAAGCTGCTGCTATGTTTTCAAAACTTTAGACATCAAAACCCATCCTGCAGCTGTAATGCTGAGAGAAATGCACAGGATGACCCACTAGAGGTCCCTTCCAACCAAAAAAGTTTTAATAGTTAAAAGAAAACCACCAGATCTATCTGAATAAAGAGGAAACAAATGACTGCAGAGTAACTAGGGCCCAGGAGGGGTGTCCACACATTTCTTTTCCTAAGGAAAAGAAGGTGCCCTTCATGAAAACACTTTCGTTTTCCATCCAAGTCAATGATACTATTGCTCTATTTGAAAATCAGAACTTTTTGTCAAGTGCAACATACTAGTTGAAACATTTCCAGCAAAGAAGGCATACTATCTGGCACTGTTTGGGTCTGTAACTATGCTTTCAATCTTAGCTATTTCAAATATATGTGAAACAACATTTTCAAAAGACATTTTCTCCTTAAAAGGAATATTGCCCCTAAGACTAAGTTTTTGCTTTCAAAGCTGATGGAAGTGGTGGGTGGAAGAAGGAAGGTGTACATTTTTGATAGTAAGCAACTTGGAAAATGATGATTTTAGTTTTTCTATTTTATCTTTTCAGTGTTAGTACTGAGAAATGTAATTGCAATGAATTAATGCAAAAACTAAATATCCAGAGGGATTGCAAAGTCCCTACTGGGATTCTCACATGCCAATTCCTTATAATGGCTACAAAAGATAATTGCAAAGAATTACAGTAGAACTGAATCATTGCCATTTTCCTTGAAAAATATGTTGCTGCCTCTTAAGGTTTTCTGAAAAAGTTTCTTCTTTTGCCTCAAAAAATAAATAAAAATAGGTAGAAACATGTACTATGTACCTTTTGTTTCTCTCCCCCACCTCCTATACTCCTCCAAGTAGCCAAAATCTACCAGTGTAAAAGAAAGGGATAGAAAACTAAATGATTTTTTCTAGTATACTGCTGTGGATTCTTTTTAAGACTCCTGGGAAAAAGGAGCTCTCCATTGAAAATCTGGCCTGTAGCATAAACTTCACCCTCTTTATGACACAATGAAGACATATGATTGATTATGTTCCTACATCCTCCCTCCCACAACTTGTTGACTTAGTTTTCTTTAAAACAGCAAAGCCAGCAAGCACCGGGATAAAAATACTCACACCTTGGATCAAGGCATTCAAGAAGAATACACTACACACACACACACACACACACAAGCATATATGTAGAGATTCCCATGCTAACCTTTTTAGGTGAAGCCAGACACAAAAAGGAAAGGAAAAAAAAGACCAGATACTACTTTATTGTGGTTTGAAGATTATTTTTGATGTTATTTATGCAAGGGAAATGCTATGTTAAAATTACATTTTTCTTGTTTCCTTTTCCTAAAGCGTGGAGTGAATCTTGCAACCCTTTTAGTACTGAAAAGATTATATACATAATATGTATGTCTGTACATAATATAGACGCATAAGTATAAGACTGTTTCTGCCCTATTTTTTTATTAAAATATATGTTTTTTTTTTCTTTTTCACCCTCTCCCCCTTTCCTCTATTCTCCTCCCAAATGAAAACTGAAGCCATAAATAGCTACTTAAGTAGTCTGGTCAGAGAATTTGAGAGTTGTAATAAAACTCTGTAGATGAATATTATGATCAAATTCTCGGACAAAGGTTCATTTTTTAAATATCATCGGCAGATGTATGGGTATTTTGGGTATAATTCAGGTCATTAAACTTCTTGATCCTTGAATGTCATCTAGAGTTTCTCAGTTGAACATACACTTGCACTTACAAAGAACTGCATTTAACTCCCCATAAAATATGGATTTTATTGCAGCAGTGACAACATTTCTCCCCCCCCCCCACTGACCTCTATAGCATCTCTCTGATCGCCAGTCTCAAAACTCCTTACACAAGAATGTCTAAATCCAAAATTAGAACCATTTCTGTAATTGCAGCTATGTAAAACTAAGAACAAAAACAAAAACAAAACAAACCCACTTACCAGCTTACTATCATTTATTCCTGGAAATTAATATGTATGTGACTAGGTGCAAATATTCCAATTTTCTCCTGTCAGATTACCTATAAAAGCTACACACACTTGCTTCAGTCCCTGTCCCGAGAACACATTAACACAGAGAAGACTTGGTGTCTGGTCTGTCATCTTCAGTAACAGCCCTAGGGCTACACACCCACGGAACCGCTGACTTTCCCCTCTACTGTGGGTTCCATATGCAGACTTTCCTTTCAAACTCAGCCCTCATGCACTAAGTCCACCCAGAAGACTGCCCAAAAGGTGGATGCAACCGACTTCCTTTTCTCCTTGTCCCTAGCTAACTATTGACTGTTTGGAGCTAAAGTTTTTCTGCTCCGCAAGCATTCGTATGCGCAAAATGACCAGGAGCCAATTTGTACCTGCCCACGCCTTCCCCCCGCCCTGGATGGTACAGAGAGGTGCCCACGCTCGGTGCCTCTGCTCCCAAGGACGCCGGCTGCCCGCACAACAGAGCTGCCAACTTTGCAAAAAGACCCAATGTCAGCCGCAGCTATCCGAGAAAGAGCAGAAGCGAGTGAGCTCCTGCTAAAGGCAGCGAGCGCTTCATTTGCCCTACACCAATCCATAGCCTGGAGGAAGTCCTTACCCGCACACACCCAGCCCTTAGCCTCCTGGAACACACTGGTCAGTACTCGGCCGCAGTTCCGCTCCGCCTGGGAGTGAGCCCTCCGCTCCCGCGGGCTGCCTAGTGTCTCCACCTCCCGGGAAGCTACCGGCACAGAACTAAGGGTCTGACACTTGGAGCATCTCTTTTAACTCTGGCATGCATGCAGCGGAAGCTGACGGGACCTTCTAGCGGATTGGTTTCCATTCAATGATAAAGACACGGACAGAAACCACAGCTACAAAAGCAAACCAAACACCCCAACAACACTAGAGATCACCTTAACCCTTTCCCCTAGTTACAAACAAACACGGAAAGATTCTGCTACCGGTTTCTGCTGCTTCTGCAGCCTCTGCTCCAGCTGCTGCTTCCCCCACTGCCTTCGCTGCTGCTGCTGCTGCCGCTGCGGTTGCCGATGCCGCTACTACCACCGCAGCCGCTTCTGCTCCCGGGGTTGTTGCTGCTCTGTTACCCTACACAGTTCCCACTGTTTCCTGCTCAAACCGCAGCACTCAGTATGGGAAGGTGATGGGGCTTAGGGAAAGCAGGCTCTTCTGGGCACACACTGATTTGCAAGTGAATGGAGTGGGAGGGTGCAGAGAGAGGAGGACTTTGTTAAAGAGCCCCTCTCACTCCCCTCCAACCCTCACCCACCCCCTCCTCATGATAGAATGACTCCCAGTGTTTGAAGTCGAGAGCAATCAGCTCACAGTAATCCTCCGTCAGCCGTAGTATGAGCAAGGATTTTTTTTTTAAGGTTACAACATACTCGGAACTTGTGGGATTCCGTATGTTTCTCCCCTTTTATTATTGAATTGTCGCCTTTATACTATTATCAGAAATGATTGAGTGTTCCCCTCCCCTCCACCTCTCTCCCCCTTCACTAAACAATTACAATTCGCGGTAAAATAGAACCATGTTTTCTGCTATCGAGTCAGGTTCATAATGTTACGGAATACGAAGTACCGGCACATATAATGCATTTCCCTTGGGATAATTCCCCCATTTATCATTCTTTAATATGTAAATAAAAGGCGACCTTCACACACACAAAATATACATCCATACATTCTATCCTCTTGCCCCCTCCCTCCCGATTAAATGAATATTTTAAAATTCTTTTTTTTTCCTTTTTCTTTGTTATTGCTTCTGTTTTGTAGCGTCAAGAGGCAATGCCAGGAAGACCTGCTTTCTAGGGCTTAGAAAAAGAGTCTGGAAGCCCAAACTCTTGAGGTCTGTCTACTGGCTCTGACAACTATTCCTTGCTCAACAGTGGAAGTAATCTAATCCTCTCTATTGATAAATGTCCTTCTTTGTAAAACGCCTTAATGTAGCGGCGTGGGAGGGGGAATACTGACAGCACAGAGATATTACTATATTTAAAGCCTCTGAAAGATTTTGTAATCCGTAGATGAAAGTTGCCATACAAGTGATCCCTTAAGTAAGTACTTAGGTCCACACAACTTCATAGCTATCTAAAATTAAGAATTGTTAGAATAAAGGCACAATCGTTTGATATATGGTCTCTAACATCACCGCTTTTTTAAAATGATAATATTTAAAGGACTTCTAAATTCAAAGTCGCTCTACACAGGAGTACCAGACAGGTGGTTTAGGACTTTACCCCCAGGATGGGGTCAATCTGAAAGGAAACTTGGCAGCGAAGGAATTAAAAATCAAATTCTCACAGAGACTACTCATCCAAGGGCACATGAAACTGTCTGTAGTCTTATAATACGCTCTAAAGAAGGTTTCTTTCCTAAGTGTTCCTTACTATTAAGACTTCCAAAGGCAAAGCCGCATCAGTTTTCCCCGAGTGCTTAAATGGGGTTTGTAGCTCTGAGGTCACCTAGGAGACTATTTTACTTCTCCAGGAAGATGGCCATTTGGAGTGCCAGTAAGAGTGAATTAAGCCCAAGCTGAGAGATTTACAGTAGGTCAGCAATATTCCATATATATATATGATATATATATATATGGAATTGGCCTTAGTGTAGATGGCCAACATGTTTGCCATCACAATACCTTCGGTTTTTATTCCAGGATGGAATGTTTAAATTTACAACTACCTTAACAAACAGTAACACATTTTCTCCTTGTTACACCTACCTAAAATCTTCCCATGGGGCAAGAAAAAAAAACCTGTTTATGTGTTTCCCACTCAATAGTTAATTCCTTAAGTAATCTGCCAGTCTTACACCAAGTGTGAATGCATATGCAGAAAATGAAAAAAAAAAGTTAGGTTTTAAGTACTTCCTAGAGGAGTGAGATATGTGCCTAAGCAGAGCTGTGTGATTACAGACTGATTTTCATTTTTTTTAAGCCCAGGTCATGGGCTCAGTGACCATTTTAACCAGTCAGCATTACAGGCAGAAAATCATTCTATGGTGGCCCACAGACTGCACTTCAAATGTCAGTTAGCCATTTCACAAAAAATCCACTGTTCTTATAAGAGATTATAAAGAAAAAAATTTTAAGTTAGTGTGGTCAAGTGCAACTATGACTCCCCCACATTCTACTTTCCACCCCCAAAAAACCTGTTGAAAATGAGGAAGTTTCATAATTCTGGCACATCTAGAACAGTTCTTCTCATATTCTATTTTTTTTCTTGGCATGATAAAAGATTGTTACAAACTCCAGACTAACAGACTCAAAGAATCTCGAAATTGGAAGGGTCCTCAGAGGTCATCTAGTGCAACCCATATATGAACAAGAATCTACTGTATAGAATATGGGACAAGTGACCCTTCAGAGTACTGCTTGAAGACTTCCATTGACAGGGATATCTATGACCGTTCACAGCAGTCCATTCCATTATTGTGTAATTATATTTGTCAGAAAGTTTATTTCCTTTGACTAAAATCTGCATGTCTGCTAATTCCATCGTTTTATCTTTTTGGACCAAGCAAGATAAGTTAAATCTCGCTTCCATATAATAATCTTTCAAACATTTAAAGATATCATGTCTCTTCTAAAATTTCTCTCCTCCAGTTCCTTGAACCATTTCTTATATGGGATGCACTACAGTTTCCTGGTTGCTTTTCTTGGAATGCATTCTGGCTTGTCCATGACCTTCCTAAAATGTGGCACCTAGAACTTAATATGATTATTTAGACAATACAACATTTGAGACAATACAATACTCTAGATGTAGTCTGGCAAGGGCAGAGGGCAGCAGAATGATCGTTTCCCTTGTTTTATACAATATGTCTCTCAATGAAACTTAAGATTAATTTAGCTTTTTTGGCTTCCCTAATCATACAATTTCTATCAATGTTGTGGTCCACTAAAACTCCCTGATCTTTTTCACTACATCTTTCCTATGTTGTGCTTGGGCAACTGAATTTAGATCAAATTTTGATCAAATTTTAGCTTCTTAATTCCACACATTGATCCATCCTGCTGAGGTCTTTTTGTATCCTGATTCCATAATTCAACATATTTGTGTCAGTGTTGTGTCACTGGAAAACCTGATGAGTGCATTATCTATGCTTTTATCCAAATAATTTCCAAAAGTATTGATTATCATAGGCCCATGGATTCCCTGAGACAATGCACTATATTCCATTGAATCTCCATCTAAGTTTACATAAATTCATTAATGACTTCTCTTTGTCTAGTCTTCAACTGCTTCTAAATCTACCAAAACATACTGTTATCTAGCTGGAGTCTCTCCATATGATCCGGAAGGATGACACAAGAGATTCTGGGAACTAGTTTATCTGAATATGATGACTTAAACCCAATGCGAACAGCTGTGTTCTCTCTTATGATTTCCTCACTCATATTGCAATTCCCAGTTGGCCACTTTCTGCCTATGTTTTCTAATCCAAATACCATTTTCCTTGGTTATTGTTGTTGTTGAGTTGTTTCAGTCACATCCAACTCTTCATGACCTCATCTGGAATTTTCTTGGCAAAAATACTGGAGTAGTTTGCCATTTCTTTCTCCAGCTCATTTTTACAGATGAGGAACTGAGGCAAACAGGGTTAAGTGACTTGCCCAGGGTCACACAGCTAAGTAAGTGTCTGAGGCCTGATCTGAACTCAGGACCTCCTGATTCCAAGCCAGGGGCTCTATCCACTGTGTTATTTAGCTGCCCTTGGTAGAAAGAATCAAACCAAAATGAGTTGAGTAATTCAACTTCTCTTCATCATCCATTAACATTATCTTATTTTCTCCTATGGCTGTATGGGATGGTCAAGGAGGACTAGCACCTCTGGTGTGAGGACTTGCCAAGCCCTTTGTAGGACTGCTCATTCACTTTTGGTGTCCACCTGTCACCAGACTCTAACCTGTGGCTCCAAGAAACTGTAGCAAGTACAGTGGCCACACCTTGGTAAAACCACCTCAGGAGATGAGCTAAACCAGGTTTCGAATAACTGATGGACTTTATTCCCATTGGTGAGTTAGGGGGATTTTTCCCCCAAGTATGTGAAGACTTCCTCTGGCAGAATGGGCCAATAGGAATGGTTTGTTCCAATGGCCACAAAGGTGGCTGAAGTAGGTACTATGGAGTACTTAGAGTTTGCTTGGACTTTGAAGATGCCAAGGTCATCCACTGCATCCGAGGCCACCACCAGTCATCTTGACTTTTGTTTTGCCACTGTACTTCAATGTCTGTGAAAGAAAGAGTGAGTCTTATGACTTTGCACAACTCTGCCTCACTAAGATCCAATTCACCCACAAGCTAAGACATCATCCTGTGTTGTCATTGGTCCTTTGTGAAACAACAACATAATAACATAACAACATAAAATAACAGCAACAACAGTAATTCTCCTCTAGCAAAAGCCAGTTCTTTGTTCTACCTTCTGCTCCCTCAACATAACTTTAAAAAGTCCTTTCATTTATTCTTAGAATTCACCACCAGCCTCTCAATATATTCTGAGATGTAGGGCTCCTGACCATTTTCTTAAAAGAGTGTGCATTTCTTTTGTATTAAGTCTTCTTTACCAGATCTTTCTTTTTCTCTGTCTGTTCTTTTAAAAATGCTAAGTTGGTCAATGAGTCCCTCTAAATCCACAGTGGTTTTTTGAAACGGCTTCTTCTCATTACCATAGAGATTATTTGTGTTATTAAAAGTTTATTTTTGAGATCTTT